TATCCGACTGTGGCGGTGATTTATTCTTTCAATATTGACATATACTTTGTATGCTTTACCTGGCAGCTGGTTTTGCCGAAAAGTTTCTCATTGCCAATACACACATCAAACCACTGCCGAAAATACCACAAACTGACAGAACTATCTACATGATTGTGTGCAACCAAATTGAAGAAAGCATTGACATTAAACAAGTTGAAAAAACATGGAAATCGTGGACTGGAACGGAATACATACACCGACAACAGGTAAATATATGTACGACATATTTCGAGTTGGAGTACATTGCCATTGCCGTATGCTGATCGATATATATTATTTTATTGTATATTAATGTTTTCACTTTTATTCTCCAAACATGTTACTGGGCATCGTCTTCTCTTACAATTTCGTACCACTCTCTCTCTCTTTGTGCAATGAATTATGGGAGAAAACAGCTGGAAGCTGAATAAATTAAAGTGAATATTTTGAAAATTGTTTACAATATTAAAATTCCCATCAATGCCGAAATTTCGAAATATGAGGAGATATTTTCACCATAGATCTCACATAAAAATATTTTTTTCTTCTCTTTCTATTTTCTATTGATAATCCTCGATTATCCCAGTTGTTCCCCATATACGTTCTGTATACCTCGTGTAACCATAATAATGAAAATATGGAGAAACTGACCTATAATCTTTGTTCTATTTTAAGGTTTGCCGTGAACTTGGTCTACGCTCAATCACATTTCATCTACGACTGTCAAAGAATGGAAAATACAACTACGTCACCAGATTTGAGTTTACGAATTTAGGGAATCAACTGGGCTGGGGATTCTCTTTTATGGACGATATTCGAGAACTTAAACTTCCCACAGGAATGACTTTGCATGTATCCCTCTATAAGCCTCACTATATTTATGCAAAATGATATCTGGTCGTGATATTCACTCTTGTACTTTTTATTATCCGCTATTGTTTTTGAGATAGATCATTTGCGGTGGCATTTTAGTTCGAGTACGTCACCCAGACCGCCATTTTGTTCTCACTGATTCGTAGCTGGTCACGTGAACAAAAGTCATCAAAACATATATCTATGACAATACGACTTGACAGATAAATATTTTATTTGATGTACATGTACTGCATCCAACCTATGTAATTCATGGATGTAAATATGGGCACCCACGAACTGACGAACATGCACGGCACGAAAGAACTCCGAACCCACCATTGGTGACGTATCGCATATATTTTAGAAAAGAAAAAGATGCAAAAATGTCACTTCATCGATACGATACTAGACGAATCTGGGAAAATAAAACATAAACGACAGTGGAATAAACAAAATGTTAACACGTTACAAAAGGTGCTCAGATAGGAACAGCATTGCATTGGTATGGTGAACTTTTTGTAATTTAGAGGCGATTCAATTATAATAGACAGAAGGTATGACATTTTCGAAATGCACATTGAAATTACACACACTCACACACTAAGTACGATAAGCAAAAACGTTGAATCAGCAATATAAAAGCAACACAACGCAGAGCATATCCAGTATGCTGTTACAGTGAATACTAAATCTAGTATAACATTGCAATATCAGCAGATAGTCTCTTTCCTGTGGCGTGATTGTCCTCAGTGTTTAAAAATACTGTATTCAATTCATGTATTCTGAATCACCGATATCGTGCATGACACGTGACGTACGTGTAGATTATGGTTTTATTTCTAATTGTAACAGCTCAAATAACTATATCATATTTGTTCTGCAAATCATGTATAAAAATGAGCAAATCATATGGAATTTAGTATTGTGTATTCCGTGTTATGTGCGTGTGGCGTCAATAAATATTGCAATATTTGTATTTTTCCATAAATGGTACGTGAGACGGGGTTGAAATGAATTATCGTAAGTTAACTTCATAGATTTTGATACCTATTAAACTGAACATGTATTTTTATTAACATGTTAACGTGATATGATTTATCGTCAACTAAAACAAAATTAAATTTGTTTTTGTAAATATTGTATTATATTAAAAGAAAAAAATCTACAATTGACCTCACCTATTTTTTTCTCTTTTAAATGACAACCGTTTGCATGAAATTCGACGTTTTTATAGCTCAAACTTAGTCATTGGTTGAAATATACATCTAGGACATCATCATGCACAACACCTTACCTATACATCGCGCCCTCTAGAAGCGATCACTGTACTTGAGGGCGCGATTCATAGGAATGGTCCGTGATTTTTTCCAATATGTGCAATGCATTGTGGGATATAACATTCCATTTTATTTATTGGAAAAGTAATTATCACTAAAAACTCACTAAATTAAATGTCAATATTTAGAAATGTTTTTTTTTATGAATAAATGATATGAATTTTTCATGTCATGTCACCGAGCAAAATTCTTTTCGTATTGGTTAAGTGGAGAAAAATGCTGATTAATTTATTTTGAATATTGGGTAATTAATATATGATTGTTGTATGTTTGAACGTATTTTTTATGCGTGAAATACTAGTAATATAAATTATTTAAAATCGTTGAATAAATAAATGCAGTGGCCTCAAGGGCTTGCACAATAAATGCGGACCATCTCCGAAAAGCACCGACCCTCTGTTATTTCTGTTCCATCCATTATACTATGTCCTTGCCGATAGACCTAAGTAATTCCGAGAGCAAGGGCGGTCTACTCCATCTTCGTTGTATCGTGTATTCGTGTACATTTAAAATTAAATTAAATTCCTTACCTATCTTATCATATCCACTTTATTTTATTATACGAAGGTTGAGAATAAGTTAAAACGATGTAACATTTGTACAATGCACAGGATCGGGATATATTTTTTGCTGATATGGTCTTGTTAGAACTTTCCGTCACATTATTTCAGTATGTAATTTGAATAGGACATTGTTTCGGCGAAAAGCGTGAGTGTAGATTGATAGTATTTTGTTCTAGTATATTTTTCTACGCAAGGTGTGCATTTGTCTAATCTATGAATGGCATTAAAATACGCATGATGACAGCCACATCCTCGATAGTATAGTGGTAAGTATCTCCGCCTGTCACGCGGAAGACCGGGGTTCAATTCCCCGTCGGGGAGGTTTATTTTTTTCACTCAATGAATTCGTTTTGATATAAATTTTTATTTATAATCTGGAAATTTTCACAATTTCATTTGTAATACAACATTTTCTTTTCGAAATTTCACAACTGAAACTCTTCGCGATTTAAAATAATCGCAAACTTGAGCCTGCTTAGAAGGACAAGGTACGAATCCAAATACACATTCTTCGCCGTAGGCGGCAGTGTACTACAGGTTTCATTATTTTGTTATCTGCGATTCTCAATATCCAACAGCTAAAATAAATCCCAAGGAGCTAAACTGAAACTGTATTAGGTTTTTTTATTTATATTTCTTCAGTTTAATAATCTCCAAATTATTTCATCACCAGAAGAAATCTTTGAATTAAACTGCATTTTAGCGATAGATGAGGAGAAGAACACTGATAATATTTACTATAATCCTTATTGGAAGGATGTGCAAAACTGAAAATTAAATTTGCACCTGATATGTTTTTGTCAACATTGGGGATGACATACCAGATAATTAATGGATGTCTTTAACAATGGTGATAGTATGCATCTTTTTCTGGATACTATCATCTAAAAGTAAAATACTAATACTATTGCATGTAAACACTTTGGTCTCTTGATATTATCAGTATAATTGCATCCTTGTGTAATATTCTGTTATTACCTACCCGCATGCCCCTCATGATTTAAAAATGGGATATTTTTTTGAGCATCAACACTCTAGATCCAACTAGCGATTTTCAAATTAACAGGCTGTTTGAATACATGGTCACTATATTGAATGAGCTATTAAAGCAGGTGGTTTGTAGTAGAAAAAAAACAGCATTAGTACTTTATGTACATGAACTGAGTGCGATTTCCACAGGTCATTGGCCCATTGTCCCTCTACACAAGAGTTACACAACTCGCCAACACACAATCCATGATGGGGCTTAAAGTACGAAATGTCAACTAAGGCTAACCACAAGATCTGACGTTTACTAGAACCTCAACCCATACAGGCTGTTAACTACAGTTAGCATCCGTGTAGCCATCTTTCATTAAGTCGCGGCCCTGGTTGGGTTCAAACTTTCAACTCAATATTTTGTCTTTTGATCTACAGGAATTTGACGTTAGTGGTAGTTTCTTGTCGTGTCTAGTCATACAAATTTATAAATCATAAATGTAGCGCCATCTACCTGCGATATCATTAATATGTAATGTTATGTGAACAAATGAAATAGGGATAAGCGACATTCAATGTCTGAACAGTACTTTCACTTTACAGAATCTGCTTTCAGTCCTATGGATCACTTTCCCAATACCAGATGACTGTGGAAATAGTGTTGACCTTTGATACTACTTATTTGAAACAGCCACTGTATGTAGCCTTGATCACGCATGTCCACATACATCTAGATCACTTTGTAAATAATCTATTTTCAGTTGACCGTAGCCAGTTCTCAGTTTTTTACCCCAGTATCTTAATTGAGTTCACACTTACCCAGGTAGGTGCATCATTTTTAACTAGGGCAAGAATTAAATTTGCAACAAAAACTTGTAGTTTCGATACCCCAATAGCATGTGTTTTGAGGCCAGTAGTGTTGAATCGAATCCTTATTTTCTCTGGTTTGTTATTGTACACATAAAAAACACAAGTTACAGCTGTTTTCAGATTGGTCAAACTGTTAGGTAGCCAATCGGGAAGAATCGTGTAAATAGTTTTGCATGGCCTGAATTCTTGTGAATGCCATTTGATCTTAATGATATAATTACTAGTAAATAATTCTACCACAACAGTGTGGTTAACAGTTTTGACAGACATTACTGTACATGTTGATCACTGTCAGTTTACTTCTGCAAAGCAGTAAATGTTTTATATGGTAGGTACAAACACACACACACACACACACACACTGTAAAAGACAATATTTGTAACGTCTGTTGTTTATTTAACCCCTAGACAGTAACAAATACAAATCGGCATCTTGTTTACTTGGCTTTAGCCGCCTCTTTCTTCATTTTATTATACTGGGTACGGATAATTCTGCCTCGCTGTAAATAATACAAGAAATATGTGGTTAAAGTGAGACGCAGAGAGACAATCACAGTAAGCCAAATGTAGAAATAGAACGAGTGATAGCGCATTCATTAAATGGCATTGACAATTATTGCCACATTTCAGATTAACACATTGCCTACTGATGCAGTTTTTTCCTATTAATTTCTGCAATATGTAGAGGGTTTTAGCAGGCAATGTGTTAAAGCTTATTTGAACATCAATTAAAAAACATTTCTTGTTATCTGAACTCCATTCCATGGTCCCATCAGAAATTTATTTGATTATCCAAACAAAGTGACTAAAGCCCAAGCAGGTCCAATAAGACTTGTGCATGACCCTAAAGGTTACATATCCTGGTACTCTCCAAGGGGAAAAATTCAGTATCGATTAGAATATTTCAATTTTGTTTTCCATAGTGCACAAGATCTAATGTGCATCATTCAAGGTGTGTCTATTTCAAAGACGCCTGTTTTAAATTTGCTTGTGCAGATCAAATACAAGTCAAAAGACCGGCTTTGCATCTTTGCAAAGGGGCAAAACAAGTCCACATTTCACCATTAAACAGTTAACATTAGCTATTCACTTACCGCTTGTTTTGCCTTCATGAGCTTGAAACGGTCAAAATCTGTAAGTTGTGCCCTCTACAGATAGAAAAATAATACAACTTTAGCATGTAAATTGTCATAAATTACACAAAACTGGCAATTATTATTCTATCATAATTAGTCTATTTAAAATGCCAAGACGTCAGACATTTGTATTTTTCTGTGAATGTCACTTTACAACTCAAAAGTATTTAACATTTTCTGCAGATTTCAGTACCAAGAAGTCATAATCAGAGGGCCTTGGGTGGATAGTTATGGGTAACACAACAAAAAACTCAGGATATGGTTATTGATTATTTGATACAATGTCTGTACTTAAATCAGCAGAAACTGTTAGGAATACTCATGAATTGTACCGGTTTGAATGAAATAATCTGAGCCATAGGAATTTTCATTTTTACAATTTGAAGTGAGAAATAGAAATTGACTTCATGGCAACCACATTTTAAAATTTAAAATAGTACCTATAGATAAAAGCAAGCAGCAATGAAAAAGCTGAAAAAAATTAATAATCAATAGTCCTGATCAATTTATTTGGATTTTCACCTCTCAATTGACTGGTTCCCTCTAATCAAATTTGGGACTGAGCAACCAAGAGAATAAAACAAAATGTTGAATTTGTTGTGATATATGACATCAAAGGAAAATAGAAAACTTAGCAAGAACACCACTTCCATCCCAAAATTGACATACCTTCTCTTTAATTACAATTTTCTTTGCCCATGTGGTATCTTGCCATTTCTTGGTGATTTCGTCTTTTTCCCAGGCTTTCCTGACAATTTTGGTTCTGACTGAATGGGGAATCTTGAGCACAAACTTTGTAAGATGGAGTCTTTTCATGTTGACAGCTTGTCGCATCACACCAGAACAGGGACCATCAACCAATACCTGTAAAGTCAAATAAAAACATTTGGGGGAATTAATACAAATAATTATTAGTAGCCCCTCAAATATATCTTTCTATTGATCTAGCCACCCTGACATGAAGTGAGTAGACTATTCAGAAGAACCCCCTTTATATTTTGTTAGCTCACTAATGCTGAAAATCTATCAGACAATAAATAAGACTGAATTATTCATTGGCCTTATTTTTGCTTATTTTGCCAATAGCTAATAATAATATCCATGCAACAACAAATCCTCCAAAATTATCCCTTATCTGGTCCAATCGATATAATAGCACATGTGGCCGGCAGGAAAAGGGGTTAAATCCAGTGAACTCCTTCCGTATGTCTTCTGAATACAGTAAAGTATGAACCTAGACTGATAACCTTACCCTTGCTTGGTCGACTATATCTACGACGACGCACAGTTTGCCAGCATCCTTACCATGGGCAATGTATGCCACACGGCCAATCTCAATAAACCGTTTAAACACCTGAAAATCAACATAATCATATGATTTGGTAATGGAACACATCTCATTTCATCTACATCACTAGTCTTTGTGTTGTTCATTGTATTGAAAAAAACAGACATACATACACTATCTCTGAGAAGCAATATTTATATTTTTTGGACTCCATGTGCACCAGAAAAAACATGAATAATGCTTCAAGCAATACAATACATTATCTCGGGTATAAGCCATAAATAAACTTATTCTTGGCGGCAGATATTTTCTTCAGGTTGAAAAAGGACAAAATTACATGAAAACGCCAGAAAACGATGGTTTGCTGCTAGTAGTAGTTTGCTAGGGCCTCTTGTTATTTCCAGTTGTAGTCATTTTTGTAAATAGTCCTACAGGCATTGGGAGACGCATTTCAGTCCTTTCAAATAACTGTGGGCAGTGTATACAAGCATCTACAGTAGATAACGCGTTCACTTTCGGTATGGGGACAGAAATACCTAATACAGTGATGTCATATTGTCCTCATTTGACCAGAAGAAAATGGCTTACAAACGGTCTAGCAAACTAAATTTTTGTTACGGTTTTTAATCTGATGGATGTTTAATCAATATTTAACAATTAGACGGATATTTTTGATGATGTGACACAAGAAAATATAGCTGCAGTTCTGTAGTTCTATTGGCTTTGCCTTAGTCTTTCTTTTATTGTCAGCAGTGTTATTTCATCTGTTGATCACCTCATAACTGAGCAAATAACCTTATCGACAATACAGCAAAACCATGAGAGCTACAGATTTCAGCTAGAGAAAATAGTGTGCTTTTATTGATATTTATTTGGTGTTCCATATTTGTGTTACACAAGAAACCGTAGATCTTCAGGGTTAATAAAATTTTAATATCCAAAAAATAACTTAAAGCGCGGTGGTTGTCGCGCAGTGCGTGTTCGAATTTCATGTAAATAAACAATGTATTTTATACGCATTGTATACGTCGCTATGAGTCCCATATCGAACAGGACGCGGCACGACGACTGCCGCCCTAAATAACAAATTAAAGAATTTCTAATATACCCCTTACCCCAACTCTAACCCTCCAGTCCCCAATTCAATTGCATATGTCCCTCTAGACAGGTGTTCTCAAGTGGGGCATACACAATTAATTAGAGGGGGGAAATGTAGGTAGGAGTAGGGTTAAAGATAGGATTACAGGTCAGGGTACATTGGAAAGTCTTTCCAGAACACCAAATTTATCAGAAATAACTAAAATATCATCCAAGACGCACCGACAAATACGAATTATGAACGCACAGCTAAATAAAGGTGTGAGCTACTCGCCGGGGAATGGGAAAACGCTTCGAAAGCTATTAAGTACTAATATCCAACTTTATTGAACAAAAGCAGAAAGTCGACCGTCCCCACAAACAGGTGGCAGGTGTACCCAGTATATAGTATAAACAATGTTCGGACAAACACCCGACAACCTGCTGATATTTATTTCACGAGTTCCACGCTTGTCAAACAAGTGAGCGGCCATTTTGGACGACTACTCGGCATGCACATGTAAATTAAAATACAAATATCGTCATTTAGGTGGAATAACTTGAATACATTTCGATTCAATGAAACAAGTATAACACCGACAATTACAAAAACAAATTCTACGTCAAAAAACAAGGAGAAATCAGCCATTTTAAGGGGAAATAAAGTTCCCAACATAACACATGCTACCCACCATTTTGAGCAACGATGGAAAAGAGGAAGTCTACGTGTCGTGTGCAAAAATGGTGCGCCATCAGTCGGTGTAAGTTGTAGGTCAAAGTTCATTGCAGAAATTAGTAAACATATCTGGGACATCCCGAAGAAAAATGCAGAAGACAGCACGACTGTTTACTACTGGTCTTCAGTTGAGGACGATTCATCGGTCATTTTTAAAGAGAGCATTATCGTCCGTATCCGAAGATCAGGTAAGCATGTGCATATTTTTCAAGACGTTGGATATACCCGGAAGTAAAGTTACTGCAGAAGTCATTCATTTAGGGACTGTGATTTAAATCATTCATCCAGTGCTTGTTTATTGTTGTTGTTGTTTTTTTTTTCTTTCCAAATTATACTGCTAGCTAGTTTATATATATTCGACAATATCTATTATTTTTAGTCAAGTATTTCCATAGCCGATGATGTGGTGAATACTTTCAAATCTGTTCTTGGTAGTCACAACGTGTCCTCATCCCTGGCAGTCAGAGAGCATCATGGGAAGGATGAATCTTATCATAAGTGAGTACAATACTTTATAAAATAACACTATGTAATGATGATATCCATTCCATGTGAACTCTAGGAAGGTTTTGAGTGTGTACAATGTAAACAGAAATAAGCACAGTGCCAATGAAAATAAAACTTTTTTTTTAATGTAGAGACACCTCTCTCTAATGGAGCAAATGTGGTATTTGCCAGGTTTTAACTTTACCCACTAAATTAAATTCATGTTCACATGTAAAATTACAAAAAAACTTTTTGCTTCACTGGACAATCTTTGAACTCAATGAATATGCAAACCTTGAATGCATTAATGAAAACAATTACTATTTTATAGTTGTCTTTTATTACAAAAACCTGTACAAGAAGGGTATTACAGTTCAAAAAAGTAGCTCAGAAGACTTCATCTGGGTGCAGTTCAACAGGGAATTTTTTCAGTTAGAGGAAGATTTATTTCTCTGCACTGTTTGCCCCCAGCTCTCAAGTATTTTCAATCGGAAAGAAAACAATTTATTTCAGCTACTTGAAAAAGACATAGAAAAATACTCAAAGAAAGGATCAATTATTTTAACAGGGGACTTTAATGCTAGAACCAGAAATGATGATGATGTTGCGATTTACAACAACCACAACTACCAGTCATCAGACATAACCTGTAACTTTAGAAAAAGAGTCTCTCAAGACTCAACTAAAAACAAATATGGTGAATCACTTTTAGATCTTTGCATGGCTACTGACCATATTATCTTGAATGGTAGATGCATGGGTGATAACACAGGCAGGTTTACTAGCCACCAAAGAAGAGGCAGTAGCATTGTTGATTATACAATAGTTAGTGATAATTTATTTGAAAAAAATCAGTTTATTTTTTGTCCACCCACTTGATCTATCTCTTTCTGACCACTGCCCGATATCCTATCACCTAAACACTAATGCTACCTCAGATACAAGTGACAGAATAAACTACAAATCTGAAACACCAACAAGCACTATCTATTTATGGAATAACGAATCTAAATTGCACTTTAACAGGGCTTTACAGTAAAGAAATAGGCAAGCTAATTGATGAATTCAATAAAAAAGACTTTAAAATATAGAGTCAATTAACCATGCATGTGAATTGATATCAAATATGTACATTGGAGCAGCTGACAAAAGTCTGAAGAAAAAAATAATTCGACAAAACATTTCACATGTTAAATCAAAAAACATAACTAAACAAGCCAAATGGTTTACAAATGAGCTAGCTAATATGAAAAGAGAAGTATTTAAATTGTCTTCTAACCTTTGTAGAAATCCTGGAAACAAACATTTAAGAATACAATGTTATAATCTTAATTAAAAGAGACTATAAACGTCTAATCAAAAAAAGAAAGAGAGAATTTAAAAATGAGATACTTAATAGACTAGACAACATGGGAAACTCTAATCTACACAAGTACTGGGACTTAATAAAAGAACTTAAAAATAACCAACAAAATGAAAACTATGTTGAAAACATTGAAGATAAAAAGTGGTTTGAACACTTTAAAGAACTGAATTCTTCCGAGCAGATGAGAGACTATAACCAAGATGCAGACATTGACCTATTAGAATGGAGCTCTCAGACAGTAGATATGCTTGACAAAAACATTTCAGAACTTGAGATACAAAATGAAATAAATAAGCAGAAAGCTGGAAAAAGCCCAGGTCTGGATAAAATTAAAAACGAAATGCTGAAAACAGGCAGACATATTTTAATAAAGCCTTTACAAAAATTATTCAATCTTATTTTATCTAGTGGCAAGTATCCAAGCAGCTGGAATACAGGTATCATTAAACCCATCTATAAAAAAGGTGACAAAACAGACCCTAGCAACTACAGGGGAATCACCCTTCTGAGCACATTAAGTAAACTATTCACATCAATTCTGAAACAACGTCTAACCAACTACGGTATATACAGGACAATAAAATAATAATAAATTGGATTCATGCCAAAATTTGGAACAAGAGATCACATATTTGTATTTAAACAACTTGTCACAAAATATCTTAACAACAAGAAATACATTTTTGCATGTTTTATTGACTTCAAAAATTCATTTGACTCAGTGTGGCACCCTGGACTAATGTACAAATTAAGAAAAAATGGTATCACAGGAAAATTTTACCAAATAATCAATAGTATTTACCAAAATTCACTTGCATGCGTAAAAACAAAAAATGGCTTAACAAAAACATTTCCAGTAGAAAGAGGCATAAGGCAGTGGGGATGGCCTAAGCCCACTCTTATTTAATATATACGTTATTGACATTAAAGAACATATAAACATGGGGGAAAACAACCCGCCATCTTTGCGAAATAATACACTGCCATGTTTACTATACGCAGATGACTATCAGAAAGCAGCTCAGGTTTGCAGAATGCACTAAACGGTCTTCAAATTTACTGCAAAAAATGGAAATTAAGCATTAATATTAATAAATCAAAAACCATGATATTCAACAAAAGTGGCAAACACATTAAAAACCAAAATTTTCACATAGATGGTGTAGAACTAGAAAGAGTGTCAACATACACTTATCTTGGAATTAAATTGAAAACAAATGGTAAATTTGACTTGGCTCAAGAAGATCTTAAAAATAGAGCTATGAAAGCATGATTCAAAATGAAACAGTTATTATTCTCAGATACATATATACCAATAAAAACATATCTTAAAATGTTTGATACCATGATAAACCAATACTTTTATACTGTGCAGAAATCTGGTCAGATAGTATAATTAAACACCAAAAGATGTATATGAATATCATGTCACCAATGGAACAATTACA